GATGTTGTTCACAGGACAGCAAGAGTAAACGATCGGGAGACTCTAGTCGTCGTTATCGTTTTATTTCTCCGGTTTCAGCGTTGTTGCTTCACAACTAAAGCGAGCAGTTTACTTTGTGCACTAACATGGACTCGAGTCAACCAGCGCCACCTCTGGCCAAGTGCCACAGCCTACAGCCAGATCAACTTGTGACACACATCTGCACCACGTTTGAATTCGTTTCATGCACAACACATTTGTACCTTTCAGTTGTGTCTGTTTGTGCGTCATGCAAATAAACCTTGAAGAATGAAATGATATCATATATTTATTATTGGCCTACATTTGTACAAAATTCCAAATTATATACACAATGTCATAGAAATCACCACCCCTGTTCATCATGATTTTAATATTCTCCTTTTCCATAACAATGAAATATGCCTTGGACAAATATGACACATCAATAGTTCATTAGTGTTGTCACATCACATCCTGTAAGCATCTCCTGTCTGTGTCTTTCCTCTGGAAATGAATATTTCCAGCCAATATAGGCAATCCATCAACATGGCTGGAGAGTTGGTAGTTATATACAGTCTGTATAAGTGTGGTTAATCTAATGAACATTTGTAAGGAGACGGCAGTTACTGTGAATTTACAGGACTTTCTCTGTTCATGGGCTAACTTGTGGAGTAGGGTCTGTATTCTCTCTTTATTCGTTTGTGGCCTTTTTTCCTTGTAGCTGATTTTTAATGAGAGTTGATTTAATCTGTTACCTGTGAGGATTCAGCCAACATTTCTGCATTGATCTCGTATCTTCAACAGCTGATGTCAGTCATCATCAGCACTGACAAGAGGTGTAAACATTCTGTGTTTTTCTGGCTGACATTCATACTTTTAAGCCTTGTTTTAACAGTATGCACTGCTCGAAAAATTAAAGGAATGCTTTTTAACCAGAGTATAGCATCAGGTCAGTCAAACTACTGGCATATTGATCTGGTCAGTTAAGTAGCAGAGTGGGTTAGGGATGGGAATCCAAGGACCTGGACTGCTGGGCACTGGCTATCCTAAAGAACTGGTTCCCAGTAGTCCAATTCAAGTAATTCAATTGTTAGTCTGTCTGGTTATTGATCCCACTGTTCTTGCACTACAATAAGCTGATTTTAGTTTGCGTGTGAGAGGAGTGAAATAGCGGCGCACTCTGCAACATGGATATGGACATTACATTTATTTTTATTGCACAAAAGGACGAGAACATGATGGTAAAGTAGAAACTGCATCCAGGACAAAACAGCTGCTAACACAACTATGGCTCTGCAAGCACCTGTGCAGTCAGCATGCTAATGCTAAGCTAGCCGAGAGCCCAGAGTGATGCTGCAGTTGAGAGCTGACCCCATTAACATTAAAGTTTTGTAATGACTAGTACAATGAGTTACTTTCTTCTAGAAGTAAATACTGCAGTACTGTACTAATTCAAATTAATTTTAAGTGCTCCATGTAATATGTGTAGCAACGTTTTGTTTTGTTTTTGGGGTTTTTGTCATTTCCCACCCCAGTACTAATCACAACAGAGGAGAAATGCCTCTTACATGCACAAATTAATTTGTATGAAGTAATGTCTTTGATATGCTGCTTTATGATAGCGGTG